CTAATCCCAGCCCCAGTGCTGTCCAGCTGCTGGACATCAAGGGTGAGGCCTCTGTGTGTCTGCTGTCAATCTAACCCTAATCCCAGCCCCAGTGCTGTCCAGCTGCTGAAGAGCAGATTGTAGACATCAAGGGTGAGGATTCTGTGTGTCTGCTGTCAGTCTAACCCTAATCCCAACCTCGTCTGCTGTCCAGCTGCTGTCTGAAGAGCAGCTCGTGGACATCAAAGGTGAGGTGTGTCTTGCCATCTCCCACGCTGCACTGCTGGGATGCCTGAGCAGCTCGCTGCTGTAGGAGGCGTGAAAGATGAACCTCAGCACTGTGTTCTACCGCATGGCTGACCCGGTAGGGAGCTACGTCCTGGGAGAGGTGGATCTAGCTGAGCAGCGCGGGGAAGGGTCCTTTTCCGCACAACATCGTGTCCTCCTGCACAGCCGGGGAAGGCTGTCGGCAGACCTGACAGCACACGCATGCTTGCTGTTCCTGCTGATGTAGCGGGGCTCGGAGTGCTCAGCCCCTTCTGACTCGTGCACAGTGTCAGACTCGGCCGTGGAGTTATCCCCTGTCTCCACAGCGGCCGAGAGCTGCTGGGGTCTAATCCCAGCAGGGGCAGGGAGAGCTGTAGCTTCTTTCGCCCCTGGAAGTGCTGCATTGGAGCCTTCATGTTGGACTGAACACTTCCACTGGAACAAATGCATGTATATCATGATTCCTTTCCCGTCCAACCCTTCTACTTACTAACTGATCCGAGGATCTCGGCCTGCAGTTTCTTTAAAGAGTCCAGGGTATCGGCTTCAACGTCATAGCAGGGCGGTTTGTTTTACACTCACACTCCCACTCCCACTCGTAAACTAGCTTTAGTGAAGAAAGAAGTTTGTTCCAGGTCCCTGGTGTCTGAGCCTTGGGGTCTTATTTGTGTTCTTGGCTTATGCAGAAGCAAGCCTTGTGTACTGCTAGAGACTTCAGAAAAAAAACCCATTAAGTACAGTCCAAACAGTTTCTGATTTCTGTGCTGAAGGAATCGAGATCCTGATGCGCGGAGCTCCCACTGCTGGTGTCAGCAGGACCTGTCGAGTTCCAGAGGGACCGTCTCTATTAACCACCCTGTCTCTCTTTCAGTCTCTCACCCCATCAGGCCCAAGGCTCCGTCTGCAACCAGTATTCCTGCCATTCTCAAGGCACTACAGGATGAGTGGGTGAGTTTCTCAGTGTGTCTGGACTGTATTAACCCCTCTCTCTCAGTGCAGTGTTAATGTACTGGAGTGTCCAGTCAGTGTGTCTGGACTGTATTAACCCCTCTCTCTCAGTGTTAATGTACTGGAGTGTCCAGTGAGGGTCTGTCGTGTTTTATTTGCTGTAGTAACTCCACTGTCTGTCTTTCAGGATGCAGTGATGCTGCACAGCTTCACTCTCAGACAGCAGCTGCAGACGACTCGTCAGGAGCTGTCTCACGCCCTGTATCAGCATGATGCCGCCTGCCGTGTCATTGCCCGGCTCACCAAGGAGGTCACCGCTGCCAGAGAAGGTACAGCTCTCAGTGCCTTTTGTCTGGTCGCCTGTTGTCGTTCATCCTTGTTAGACATCAAACTGATAGCTCCCTGCTTTCTCTGTAGCCCTGGCGACGCTGAAGCCTCAGGCGGGATTGGTGGTTCCACAGGCAGTGCCCGCCTCCCAGCCCACTGTCGCAGTGAGTCATTGGTTAAACGACCTGCCTGTCAGTGTAAAGTTACCCGGGATGCGTTGTGTGAATCGATGTGACGAGTGTTTGTTTCTCTCAGGGAGGTGGGGAGCCCATGGAAGTCAGCGAGCAAGTGGGAATGACTCCGGAGATCATACAAAAGGTACTGTAAGCTGCTCTTTCTCATACCTGCTGCAATGTTTGGTCACTTTTTTCAGTAAGCTCTGTGCTGAAGACGAGCTCCCGGGATCTGCTTCTGTAGCTAGTTGACAGAGCAGCACTGCCCCCTGATGGGACACTCGTTCTTCACAGAGTAACCTCCACTGAATCCAGCCTGTACCCCTCAAATACAGCAGCTTATTGCCCCCGAAATCCAGCAGGGGCGTGCAGCCCGTACCCCCTGATCCAGCAGGGCGCCTGGCTTTGTTGGGGTACAGGTCTACAGCTGCTAGCCCCATGCAGCAGGGTTTCATGAGTGATTCCATTAGTGATATCTTCCCATTGTGGCGTCGCGGCCACAGAGGAGCTGGTGACTGGCCTGTCGGTGTGGCTGCCGTGCCGCAGTGCCTTCAGGGCTCTCCTCACAGCCCTCCTGTGAGCCAGCGAGGGCTTGACTTCTCTCGCAGAGCTCGTCTGGCCTCGAGGCTTGTCTGCTCTTAGTCTGTTACACACTCCAGAAGCAATGGGTTTATATTAACTGATATCTCCCTCTCTCTCTTCAGCTCCAAGACAAGGCCACTGTCCTGACCACCGAGAGAAAGAAGGTCAGTCTGCGAGGACACTCTGTCTTTCCGTCTGCTCTTACTGTCATCACCTGTGTGATTTTAACCCCTCTCTCTCCCCCACACTGACTCTGCTTAAGAGCACCAGATAAGTCACAAACCAGAGCACATCCCGTCTGTTAGGTAGTTAACTGATCCAAAGATCTCATCCAGCTGTTTTTTGAAAGAAACGCTGGTATCGGCTTAACAACACAGCTGGACAGCCTGTTCCACACTCCCACCCTCCTTTGTGTAAAGAAGTGAGTTCTGTTCTCGGTTTTAAACGTACTTCCATGATTTCTGGTTTGTGTTTCTCTCCTAATTGCAAAGTCCCCTGGGCTGACTTTACATTTGAGGAGGCTGAATACTTTTTTCTTAGAATTAATTTTCTCCCCCCTTTTCTGCTCTGACTCTCTCGCACAGTG